TCTTACTACTGCTGCTGCTGCTACGGTGAGAATTTTAAAACATGTGGGGGGCGGGCAACCCAAGATCCAAACAGAGGTAGTATGAGACACCTGTTTTAATCCGTATGTTTTAGCTCCGGTGTTTACTTCCAGCCTTCCAGCCCTCCAGCCTTCCCAGCCTCCAGCCTTCCAGCCTTCCCAGCCTTCCAGCCTTCCAGCCTTCCAGCCTTCCAGCCTTCCAGCCCTCCAGCCTTCCAGCCTTTCAGCCTTCCAGCCTTCCAGCCTGGAAAAAAAAAAAGGCTGGAAGGCTGGAGGGCTGGAAGGCTTGAAGGGGGAAAGGCTGGAAGGCTGGCGGGGCTGGAAGACTGGATGGAGGCGCTGAAAGGCTGGAAGGCTGGAAGGCTGGAAGGCTGGAAGGTTGGAAGGCTGGAAGGCTGGAGGCTGGGAAGGTTGGAAGGCTGGAAGGCTGGAAGGCTGGAAGGCTGGAAGGCTGGAAGGCTGGAGGGCTGGAGGGCTGGAAGGCTCGAAGGTTGGAAGGTTGGAAGGTTGGAAGGCTGGCGGGGCTGGAAGGCTGGATGGAGGCGCTGGAAGGGTGGAAGGCTGGAGGGGCTGGAAGGCTGGAGGGGCTGAAACTGGAAGGCTGGAAGGCTGCTGGAAGGCTGGCTGGATGGCAGGAGGGGTTGGAAGGCTGGAAGGCTGGAGGGCTGAAGGGCTGGGAAGAGGGCTGGAGAGGCGAAGGTTGGAGGACGGAGTCTGCGGGCTGGAGTCTCGTGTTGTTGTCTTTCCGTGTGTTTTAAAATTGGGCGGCCCAGAGACAATGCCCACGGAAGTAGTATGACACACCTGTTTAACTTGTTTAGATGTCCGGGTATTTAAAAATCATCGCCGTACTACTACTACTACTACTACTACTACTACTACTACTACTACTACTACTACTACTACTACTACTACTACTACTGCTACTACTACTGCTACTGCTACTGCTACCTGCTACTGCTACTGCTACTGCTACTGCTACTGCTACTGCTACTGCTACTGCTACTGCTACTGCTGCTGATACTACTGCTACTACTCGTAGTCCTACTGCGACTGCTACTGCTACTGCTGCTACGACTACTACCACTACAACTACTGCTACGAGGACGGCGACGACTACTACTACATAGACGACGACTACCATACTAACACTACCGCTACTACTACTACTACTACTACTGCTACTACTACTACTACTACTACTACTACTACTACTACTACTACTGACTACTACTGACTACTACTGACTACTACTGACTACTACTGACTACTACTGACTACTACTACTACTACTGCTGCTGCTACTACTACTACTACTACTACTACTACTACTACTACTACTCCTGCTGCTGCTCCTACTGTTACTCCCACCACCACCACCACTACCACGACTACTACTACTACTACTACTACTACTACTACTGCTACTGCTACTACTACTACTACTACTACTACTACTACTGCTTCTTCTTCTGCTACTACACTATTACTTCCTGCTACGTGTGTTACGACTCTTACTAATACCACCAGACCACCGATGCCGCCACGGCCACCACCACCCCAGCACCACCACCACCACCAGCACCACCACCATCAGCAGCACCACCACAACCACAGGTACAGGAATGATGGGGGACGATGGAAAAGCCATTGAACAAGCACCTTTTTTACAGCGTGCGAGCAGAGCTTGGCTCTATTCTCCGCTGGCGGATCTCCTGGTCCCAGTACCCAGAGACTCCAATATCCGTTAGTTAAGGAATATACCTTAATTTAAGGTATATTCCTTAATTTAGGGATATTGGAGTCTCTGGGTACCATACAGCCTGCCGCGGTATTTCCAAAGTACCGTACACCCTGCAACAGCCCTGACTGGAATCTTCAGGCCTGCGTGCCGAAGCCAGCACACCCTGAACCCAGACTCGCTCGAAAGACTAATTTCTCAGCCAAAATACTCGAAGCCCTGAAGCCTTCAAGCCCTAAACCCTAAACCCTAAACCCGCGCCTCAGCCGAATCTGGGTTTTCAGGACCTGGCCGCTGAGAACGTGACCTTCTTAAGCGACGAGTCGCCGTCAGGCGGTGGCTTTAAAGGGAACTCCAGAAAGTTGGAATATGGATTAATGGTAGGATCCCCTATAATTTACCATAAAGGGTTTAGGATAATCATATTCCAACTTTCTGGCTTTTACTGTAGGAGTTTCCGAAAGAGGGGACCCTAATATAGCACCCTGAATAGTAGGATAAAGTAGTAGGATAAAATAATGTACCCCGAAGTCTCGGAAACTCCCATGTGGCTGGTTTGGGTTGTATATGGGTGGTTGTCAAAATTAGGGTCCCTATTTTAATACGGCACCTAGTATTTAGGGTCCCCAAAAAGGGCCCATAATTTTGACAACCACCCATGTGTATCCGGGTTTAGAGGTTCGAGGACTCCGGATGCACGGCTCGGTTCGGTGTGGACTTCGGGCTTGGGCGTTGGTGTTTCAGCACTGTCGGGTTTGGGGCGAAGGGTAGGGTTGCAAGCGTACGTCGTTAACCCCGAGCGCACGTGAGAGCAAGCTCTAACCCTAAACCTGGGAACCCGGCCTACAGCCCTAAACCCTACTTAAAGGATCATGGGACTTAGTAAGTAAGGTTATGAGTACCTTACTTGGGGTTATAAGTAGCTATAAGTATAGTTACCTAATTATAACCCTAGTTACGAAGTCCCATGATCCTTTAAGTACAGACCTGACGAAGGGTCGCCGAAGCCCCCAAAATCTCGGCACGTCATTGTATATACGCCCGACCCCTGAGTTTAGGGGGTATCAGAAGGTTTGATGCGGCTTCTCAGCTTTCGGGACGAGGCTAAGAGGTCACACCCCCCCCCCAGAAATTAAGCCCTGAATTCCATCATCACCCCTTCAAGGGTGTATACTGCTGTTTAGGGTAGAGAAGGGCTTTACAAGGTAGAGTAGGGCTTTATGAGGTAGAGTAGGGCTTCATAAGGTAGAGTAGGGCTTTATCAGGGGCACTAGAAGAGTTTATCATTTTTTATCAGTGGTTCGGGTTTTCCTTCGTCTCCCAGCGGCAGGCCCTGGGTGGCATTCACACATCTTCGCTCTGAAGCCTTCGCTGGGGAAGTTCAAGGATGGCTTGGACGATGCTCAACATGAGGGGTTCATGTCTGGGGCCTTTAAAGGGAACTCCAGAAAGTTGGAATATGGTTTCAGGGTAGGATACCCTATAATTTACCACAGAAGGGTTAGGATAATCATATTCCAACTTTCTGGCCCTTACTTTAGGCGTGAACAAGTCTGGGTAAACCCTAAACCAGAAACCCGAGGCAAACATGTCAAGCCCCCTACAGTGACAGAAACCTGCCTCTGGTTTTCATGGCAGCCCATCATTTCCTGGCACTTCCTTTTCGAGTTCCTGGCAGCCCTAGGTTCCTGCTACCCTGCTGTCTGCAGTCCCTGCTCGTCCCTCAAACCCTAAACCTACGTGTTGCTTATCATCATGACTACTTCCTCTAGGGTCGTTTCACTTGTCAGATCTCGAACCATACGCCTCGCCTGGATTCTCCCAGCCCTAAACCCCTAAACTCAACTCCCAACCCCGACCATCCGAGAGCAAGGGAGAGAGGGCGAGGAGACCCAGAAACTCCAAACTCCGTTAATTAAGGAATATGCCGTAATTCATAGTAGGATCCCTAATATGGTTTAAGGAATATTCCTTAGTTAAGGGATGTTGGAGTCTCCGGAGAGCGAGGCTTGCTTCATGGCTTTCCGGCATCCGGGGCTGTCATCCCCCGGCCCTGTTTGGGGGCACCAAGAGCCCTTGTAGGGTTCCTTTTAGGGTAGGGCCGGGTAGGGTTTAGGCCCCTTAGTATGTAACGTCGACAAACCCGAAGACATTCGGGCTGGAGATTCGTAGCAGCCAGGTTTAGCCCAGGGTTTTTGGGGATGACGTTGCACGCACCAATATGGGAGTTTCCGAAAATTGGGGGTACCTTATTTTGGGGTCCTTATAAAGAGGATCCTACTTTTTAGGGTGCTGCATTGGGGTCCCCTGTTTTCGGAAACTCCCATGTCCGAGACCTGGCCAGGACATCATGGACTTCACGCTGGGCACGCCGCAAGCCGTCTTGATATGACAACCCTAAACCCTAAACCTTAAACCCTAAACCCTAAACCTTAAACCCTAAACCCTAAACCTTAAACCCTAAACCCTAAACCTTAAACCCTAAACCCTCCACTCTCAACCCCAGCAGCCCTTCACCAAAACAATCTGGATCGGGGCCGTCTGGGGGTTTCCCGAAAATAGGGGACCCTAATCTAGTACCCTAAATAGTAGGATCCATATTAAGGACCCCAAAATAAGGTACCCCCTAATCTCGGAAACTCCCATCTAGTCAGCATTTGGTTTTGGAGCCTTCCTTAACTTTTCTTATGCCTGGAACCCCAATGGCCCTAATTTGATGAAGCTTTGGGCGGCAGGATTCACAACTGTGCCTACAAAGCGGCCCTGGATGTCCAAGTTTGGGAATGAAAACTGACGGCTTGTGGCACGGGCAAATTCGCATCATAGTAGTGATGTAGTGATGTTGTATGGTGGCTGCTACTACAGAACTCGGGAAACCACAACAGCATAGAACACTCACCTTATCTATTTCCCGACGACTGTTTCGAGAAGCATGTTGTTGTCTCGGCCAACTTCGTGTTGAGTAACTCTGCAACCTAAACCCCGAAACCCGCCCTCGAATGAAACCCTAAATCCCCAGATGCTGAACGGCCAAACTTCCTAATCCTCTAACTGTAAGGTAAGCCTTGCATGCTACTCCGGAAACTGCCCAGGAGCTCCTTGTAGTATCATCATACTATACTGTACCCCGTCAAAGCCTAATTGATCATTGTGATGCCGAAACCGCCGCTCGTTTTTGTTGGGCTCAAGGGGGCCTCCCTATAAAACCTTAGGGTGGCCGTGGGCCTATCGAACTGACTCCATGTCATGGCCGAGGAGAGGGGTTCAGGTTTAGGATTCAATTAGGATGCAGGAACAGCAGGGTTGAATTGGGGGGGTGAGGGTTTCAACGTGTAGAGGGTTGGTTTAAACACTGCAACGCCTACTTTATCTTTTTCTATGAGTTTGCTACATAGTTCCTTGGCAGGCTAGGCATCCTTGGGTTTGGGGCTGATTTTAGGTGCTGCTCAGGGTTTTGGGTTTGCAGCGGCCTTGAGTTGACGGTTTACAGTCTACAGCCAGGGTCCAAGTAGGGATTTTGTAGGGCTCTAAGGAGGTGGTAATCATGTTTTCAAGTCCGAGGACCCGACAGCCCAAGCCACAAAACCCTGGAACTCCTATAACCGTAAGCTTTACAAGCCCCAAACCCCTAAACCCTGTCAGACGTGTTCTATCGTGTCGGGTTTAAGGCGGAACATTTTTCTTGTGCGCCCTGGAGCTCTGGAGTGGGCGTCAGGGCTACAACTATATGAGTTTCAAGATCTCTGGGTTGTGCTGAGGCTTTTCGGTTCGACACCCATGTGTGTAGCGTGCCGGAAAGGGTTCGATTGTGCAGGACAGCCGCAGGCTGTGTGCGGGCGCTGATAGGCCGGATTGTATAAAATCCCAGTGTCCCAACTACTCCTACGCAGATAACCCAGGAAGCGGAATTCGGGGCTGATTCTTCGATGTTAACTTGTCACTCAATCAGTCTGAGTTAGTTTTGCCACCTTACATGTTTGCTGACTTCTGTAGTTACTGTAGTTGTAGCCAGGAGTGGATGTAGACAGATAGGGTGGAAAAAGGCATGGATCACATGTATTGTGACATACATTTCAGCAGGCACAGCCACATGGGTAGGCACAGGCACATGTCTACATCGGGCGCGCATGGGCTACGGCTCGAGAGCCCCTAATTAGGAGTAAGAGTGCACGCACTTTGATTGCAGTAGTCCGGCCCACTTCCGGAAGCTCCTTGATGATGACATCTGTGGGCGGAACTGACCAGAACAATTCGATGGGCGACCTCAGCCAAGCTGAGCGAGGAGAGACGACAGTTGCGCAGGATGCACAGATTGGAACATCTCCCAGCCCCAGCGCTGTGGGAGCACCTCAGTTCACAGCCCCAGCTCCTGTCAACACACTGCCCACGGTGTGGAGCGTTGTCTTGAAGTATCGTCTTGCCGTCATGTGCTGTGCCGTCATCAACCTGGTCACCATCGTCCTGAGCGTGCGCAGCGCGATTGTGAACGGATCCACCAGATTTCCCTGGTATCTTAGTTGGGGCACTTGGCCATTGATTGCTTTGGGAGCTGTCTTCATGCTCGGCCCCATCTGTGGCTTCATAGGTGCCAGATACCTCAGAAATGGACTGGTGACTGTTTACTTCGGGTTCGCCTGTCTGCAGACTGCCGGCCAGATGGTATCTGCAGTCTCTACATATTGGCTCTCGGCGGCCTTCTTTGTGTTAGTGCAGTGCTGGGTGACGAAGATCGTGTCCACTTTCTGGTACCGTTTGAGCATGGTGCCACGTGAGCATCGCGGCGAGCTCTTGGAACACAAAGACGAAAAGGTGAAAATGGTGTACTGGTAGTTCCCGTCATAAGCCGCATGCTTGACCCAGGAGTTCTGGCAGAGTGTTTGCATTCGGCAGCTCGGCAGCTGCATGGTAGGTGTACAGATTCTGCAAATCCGGATTTGATACCTCGGCTAACGGTGTCTTTTGATTTTGTGTTCCAGCAGCTTGACAAAAGGTCAGCATGAGGGCAGCGCGCCTGTGGCCTGGCAAAGATCTCAAGTTCTTCCAGCCTGCTTGTGCCTGTGATTCGATGTATAGCTAATTGCCCCGCCCGGATTCAACAAGTCCAGGGGCTATCTCATGCAGCGGCAGTTGTGCACTATTGGCGTGTGCAGACCCGCTCCGTCTTTCGGTGACTTACTGAGGCGGTTCAAGAAAGTGCGCTGCATGCTTGCATCCCCAGAGACTCCAACATCCCTTGATCACGGAATGTACCTTGAACTACAGTAGGATCCCTTCTGATTTCAGGTATATTCCTTAAGTATTTGATATTGAATTCTCTGGGTCCACCCTCGCAGCTGCTTCCGAACCCTAAGGCTCCATGTACCCTTACAGTAGATACTTAGGCCTTAAAGTACCTACATAGGGACCACTTTAAGGCCTAAGTATCTACTATAAGGGTACATGGAGCCTATGGGGAAGACATCGCGTGTACTCCGGGAGGCGTCCTCGCAGTGACCGCGCACTGTACCCAGGCAACTGAGGCCGTTCTTAGACCATTTCTATTGCTGTTACTATAAATTACTGTTGCTATGGCTATAAATACTATTAAAGGGTTGTGGCATCTCCCTGAAGCCGGAACTGGAAGAGTTCTTATACCATTGCTATTACTGGGACAAGTACCCTATCGCTATGACTTTTGCTATTGAAGGGTTCGGGGTGGGGCTGGCTTTGATAGCAACTGACTGATTAGCTTCATCGTTCTTTGCTCCTGGCTGGGTCAAGCTACTGGTTTCCCTAAACCCAGGGGCCTAAATAATTAATTACAGGCGGAAAAAGGGCTTTCAAAATACACACAATAATTAATTACGAATACTGTTTTGGGGGTTCCTTATTATGGTTCGAGTATACGATGCCCCAAACCCTATTCTAATTAATAAGGCCCCTACATTATAGTATCCTTATCAATCCCTTATCGTAGCCCTTATAAACCCTTTTGAAGGAACCTTATTCTAAATATTACGGCCCCCCATAGTAAAATAAGGCTGAAGGCTTTGGGGGTTTCGTCGGATCTTGCGATTTGTCTCATGCATGTTGTAAAACATCGGGGGCAAGAAGCCGACACCCTACTCCTAGTAGTATTAAACTCCTACTACTACTACTACTACTACTACTACTGCTACTGCTACTGGTACTGCTACTGCTACTACTACTACTACTACTGCTACTACTGCTACTGCTACTGCTACTGCTACTGCTACTGCTACTGCTACTACTACTCCTACTCCTACTCCTACTCCTACTCCTACTGCTACTGCTACTGCTACTGCTACTGCTACTGCTACTGCTACTCCTACTGCTACTGCTACTGCTACTGCTACTGCTACTGCTACTACTACTACTACTACTACTACTACTACTACTACTACTATTACTACTATTACTACTATTACTATTGCTACTAGTATTACTATCATTACTACTACCTCAGCCGGGAATTCCAAGGCAAAACATGATGCGAAGGCTTTTTGCCTGGTCTCCAGCTAACCCTGAAGCCTTAAGTATCCTGAGGTTATTGAAGTGAACCGCAACCCTCTTGGTCATAGAATCCGACATGACATAACGCCATTCTTTTTATTAAGGCAAGGACGAGTGGGGATTGCTTTCTCACCAAAACCCTTCTGTGTTCATGGCGTTTTCGTTGCATCTGACAACGAAGTCATAACAACAAACGCAGGAGAATCACTGTGAAGCTATGTGAATCGTCGCAGCTAATTTTCTGGTGTAAAGTTCCTCAACCACGTCCTAAAACCAAGGTTTAAGCCCAAGAAGACCGGCAGGCCTCCCAGCAAGAGGCCTGCGACGAGGTCGTGACGCTGCTTCAGCGTGCCGCGCCAGAGCTTACGGCTTCGTTCTGGTTTGGTCTGGCCGACGTTTAACAGTGCAGAGTTCGGGCTTTGCGGGTGCAGGAGGTATTTAAATAGGAGATCAGAGTTGAGGCTTTACGGCACAGGTACCCGTAACTCCAAAATGCTTTTGCAGCGACAGACTTGCGAGAGTCCAACACCGGCTACTATTCCTAGTTTTACAGTAGCGGATTATTGCTGTTGTCCTTGCCACGGAAATTTGATAATCACACAAAGTCCTGTGATTCTCATCGCTACAACCCCTGTTAGCCCTTGCATCTACAAGCCTCATATGCAACCCTTTGGAACCCTGTGCCCCTTGACAAAAGCCCTAAACCCCAAATCCTCACAATCACACCTCGCGAGCGGGCATAGACTTCCAAAGCAATGCGAGAGGGAAAAAACCCTAAACCCCAAGCCCAAAACCCTTGTCAGAGTGACCCTTGGAAACTTCGGACTTGCATCCTACGCTTGATTTCGGAAAAAATCCCTGCGGTTCGACTCTGTTAGCTGGGCGAGCGGGGAAACAAGAGGGAGTTTCGGAAATAGGGGACCCTACTATGGTACCCTAAATAGTAGGATCCTTATGATAAGGACCCCTACATAAGGCACCCCATTTTTCGGAAACTCCCAAGAAGCCAATCAGGAAGCCTTCCCAGCCCTAGGCTTCCGGCGCAGCCCCTCTGCGGAGCCTGTGAGCTTGCGGGATGCAGCGGCAAGGGCCGGTTCCTGGCCCAACACATGTGGCTTTTGTTTTTATTTCTGTGTTTGAGGGCCTATTGGTGTTCTTTTAGGGTTCGTTGTTGTTTTGGTTCAGGGCCTGAGGTGATACGTAGTATACTGTAGGGGTTTGGGCGAAACTAGGATTTGCTTTACGTGATATTGGATATGGGGTGTCGGGTGACCGAGAGATGCAAGAAGGTGGAAAGCTCAGGGTTTATGAAGGCCTTCCCCCCCTTGATTCTATCAAAGGGTAAAAGGAGGGACACTTAATAAGGACCCCCAGGTATATACATTATATACGATAAATTAAGGTATATTCCTTAATTAAGGGATATTGGAGTCTCTGGGAATCCGGACCACCGATCTCTTGAGCCCTGACGCTTGGAAGAGCGACGTCAGCTCGTCAGGCAAAGCAAGAATATGAACCGCCTACAGCGACACCGTATGACAGTTGCCACATTTCGAGCACGAATGAGCCAGAACCCAAACCACATGAAAGCGCACTTTGCAAAGTAGATTGCCGGACCGTGCGGATTCGCTTTTTGGCAACGTACAAAAAGGCCCTTTGAAAGCTTTGAATCGACTCCATGTGAGCCTGGTGCAATTTGGATCTTCACAAACTCTGAAGCTCGAACCCCATACGCCTTGGAGGTGGTCATACACTGCAGCCCTGGCGCCCTAAACCCGATGCAAGCAAGCTATCAACCACAAATCCTGAACTGTCGTCATAGGACCCTCACCAACCCTGAGCGCTTACCCTGAACTTTCCTCGAAATGAGGGTGCAGGAGAGAGAGAGAGAGAGAGAGAGAGAGAGAGAGAGAGAGCTGAAAGCTTTCCCACAGTGCCTAATCCTCATTGGGCCATTTGCCTCAACTTTGCACCGTCTGCAAACTAGACCATGTACCTAGAAGTGCCAGCGAAGCTGCGTCCTGGTGTGAACTTTTTGTGCGGGCCGACATGGCCCTTCTCGGGTAAACTCATTCCAATGGGCTGGACTAAAGCCCCTAATCCTAGTTTCTTTTCAGCACACCTTTCGCAATGAATTCGGGGGACAAGAGGCTGCAAATTCACCTTTCCGACCTTGACGAGTCCAGTGTTTTCTCGTGTTAAACCACGGGGGAGAGCATGCCTTTTCCTCTTGCTCCCGGAGAAGGCCGGTATGCGTTCATGAGTGTTGCTACTTTCACTGTTGTTGCTTGCTGAAGAGAAAAAGGGGAAGGTACCGGCCTCCTTTTTTCCTTGGTACAGCCAAGCCCCTTCCCGTGAAACTGGTGGGGGAACGAACAACCCGTGAAACGCGGGTGTGCGGACTCGCACAGGGGGAGGGCCCTGAACGCTGGCCCAACCCCTACGCCCGGTAGAGAGAGAGAGAGAGAGAGAGAGAGTATGGGGGGGGCCTAGTGGCCGGGGGGTCTAACCAACCCCTCATGCCCGGCGGAAGAAGAGAGGGAGGGTTTAGGGTTTCAGGGTTTAGGGGAGCTTAAGAAGAGAGAGAGAGAGAGAGAGAGAGTGTGAGGGTTTAGGGTTTCAGGGTTTAGGGGCAGATGAAGTATTCAGGCGACTTGCACAAGTCCTGATGCAAAAAAGGGGCAGAATTACGCTGCTCAAGCTTTTGACCCCAGTAATTCGCTTCGAATCTGTCGCCGTCGTCAACTGTCGCCTCGGAGTTACCCGGCAGGGCTTCGACCTTGCTAGGCAGGAGGGAAAAACCCTTATAGATTCCATATGGGTGGTTGTCAATATTAGGGTCCCTTTTTGGGTCCCTAATATAATACGGCACCTAAAGGGTACCCAACAAGGGACCATAATTTTGACAACCACCCATATAAGCCATATCAAAGGCTTGTAAGAGCACGAAGAAAACTTATAAGGACTTGAAGTTGCAAGAGCCATAAGTCCTGATAACACCCTTGCAAGAACCCGAAATTCTGCCACCTAAACCCCACACCCCAGACCACCAACCGAAGCCGCGACCTGAAGCCGATCGCCTAAACCCCTAAAGCCCTAAACGCCTAAACCTTAAACCCTGAACCCTAAACCCCTAAAACCCTTAAACCCTAAACTTCTCAAACCCCTAAACCCTTAAACCAGGATCGCTATAGACCTTGCCAGGCTTTGTCCGAGTGTGAGTGTCAAAAAACCCTTAAACCCTTAAAGCCCTGAGCCCTAAACCCTCTCGCTGCCCAGCATCCCTGGCGCGGGAGCTTACCCGGGAGGAGATCCAGGGACTGCCCCTGGGATCAAAGAAGTTTTTGGGTTGAACTACCAAAACCTACTATTTTGTAGGGTCCCTATAATTTCCATACTAGGGCTCATAATAACAACCTACAATAAAGTAGGTTATGGTAGTTCAAGGTAGGGTTTGGGGCAGTTACCCTAAACCCTAAACCCCTAACCCTAGGGTTTATGGGTTTGAGGGTTAGGGTTTAGTTAGGGTTTAGGGTTTTGGGGTTTAGGTTCTAGGGTTTTTAGGGGTTTAGGGTAGTTGAGGGTTTAGGGGTTCAGGGTTAGGGATTTATAGGGTTTATGAATTGGGTTTGGGGTGCGGCTCAGGTAAATCTCGTCGAGTGTAGCTGTGTGAGTCTCATAGGAGTATCCAGATGCGTGATGAGCTTGGCGGGAAGCACGAGCGCGCGGGGACAGGTCCTGGCGAAAGCCAAGACATGCCTCCGCTTACAACTGTGACCGTATAATCAGATCCCCGATTATGAATAATTTTTGGGGAGTGTTGAAATCGGCACTTCATAAAAGCGATCGAAGTAATTACAAAGATTCAGAGACTATCAAACCCTGTTTTAGTTATCGGGACCCTAGATTAGGGTCTCGGGAGAGTCTCGGGCGTCAATCTTGCTCTGGCGGCTTAGGGTACCGGACAACCCTGCAATTGAGCGGCGAGGATTGGATTTATGGTGCAGGCTTCTGGGTTCCGAGACGAGCGAGTTGAACTTGGAACTGGACTTCAACCCATCCCTGGGCGCCGAAACCCACGCCATTCTTGTGCCTGTTATGAGTGCTGAAACCTTAGACTCCAATAGCAACGAAGGATCCGCGGCACCGGCTATGCAGACAGCGCATCCTGGCTAAGGTTGCAGAAGTCAACCTCCGCAACGCTTCGTTCTAGGCGCTACAAATACTCGAGGGGTGCCCATGAGTAGTTTGTAGATGCTATAAGACTATACGTGTTAGTATCAGGCTTACTATAAGGGTTGCGAACTTACTATCACAGTTCATGGGCCTAGGGTTGTTCGTTATGTTTTCGGCGAGAGGTCTCAGGCTTTTCAGGTTTTAATTCAGCCAGACCCATTTGCGGCTTCATCTTTCTTTAACAATCGCCTCCCTAACAGGCATAATCCTTGCAGAAGGTTGTTATTACTGTCGATGCATGCTTCAAACAGTCAAGGAGAGCGTCCTAACATTGGGGTGCCTTACCTAAACTAGATCTATATATACGCCCTGAGAACGACACATGCAAAGCCAGCATCATTGCTAGGTTCAGGTTTTGGGATGATAGTCATAGAAGGACCGGACTTTAACTTTGTGCTCTGGATTTGATTTTGGGGCTCCCAACCTCATGTTTCCATTTCGTAGCTTCTTACTTCGTCGTGAAGTTCGATTCCTTACGCTTATGGTTTCTCCCCTATATATGCCATTGCCCTCTGTATTATGTTTTATGCTTGGCCCCCTCTCCTTGCTGCTGCAAGCGGAGCCAGCGGACAGGACACGTATGCACAACGAGATAGGACGCGGGAACTGGGCCATCGTCGTTGAGATCGTCGGCGGTCTTCGCAGAACAGAATACCCCAGCCTTAGAACTGCCAGCATAGCCAAAAAAGATAGATTAAGTAAAAAGGGTCGCGGTCCTTCACACAGTTTTGCCCATTTGCAGTATTCCAGAAGGGTGCAAGGCATAGCCAGACCTAGGGTTCGCACGGCAGTTGTTCTCTTTACCTAGGACTCTAGGCTTTGGGATTTAAGATAGGTTTCGGGTTTGGGGTGGCTCCCAGGACGTTTAGGGTTTATGGGTTCAGCAGTGGTTTAGTTTTGCCCTAAACCCTAAACTCCAATTCCTCAATTCTTCCCGTGCTTTCCGACACGAAGCCAAAGCCCAGGTGTACAACCCACCTCCGGGCTTCTTCGTGGGCAACACGGACCCGGTGCCACGGAAGGGCATCCCCTCCCTCAACCTCCAGGCCAGCAATGGCCAGGATCGACATAATTAGGGTTACTGTATATGCACGTATGCGCGGATGTAATGTATGTATGTCTGTATGCATGCTCGTATGTACGTATGTATGTATGTAAGTTTGTATGCATGTATACGAGTCTGTACACACACGAACACGCGCGACGATATAGATCATGTTCAGATTTACCCGGTCCTGTCCTGGCATGAGAGCAGGGTTGGAGAGCCCTGCCTCAAAACAGAGACATTAAGACTGCCACGTATGCAGGACCCTAAACCCTTAAACCCTAAACCCTAAAAGGAAGTTTCTGGGGGCTCTAGGGGCTCTTAAGCCTGCCTTCCATGCCGGGAAGCTGCAGACAGAGCTTGAGCTTGCTCCGGACACTGTCCTTGCGGTGAGTCTACAGTAAAAGCCCCAAAATTGGAAACCCCCAGCACTATTTGGCCTTAATCCGGTTTCCAACTTTATGGGGTTTACTGTAGGGTGTCATAGTAGATGCTTATAGGCCATGAAAGTTAGAGGCTGCATCGAGGTCATGGGAGGCTTGCGCTGGATTGCGCATTTGGTTGGCCCACGTGAGAAGGGATGGGTTTGCGCCTCTGAGTTCATTTTGGACCCGGATGGCGGATCTGGCCCTGATGCCAGGATAACGGCCAGGGATACCGCACCGTGCAGCCAGTACAGATTGGCCAGGCGCAGCTGCATGTTGACTGATTCTGGAAATGTCATGACTCCAATGATGGCGTTACCAGCCATGCATACAGCATTTGGCATCCGGCATTGAAGTCTAGATAGGCCCATCATTAAGCCATACCCGGACAGAATGCCTGGGGCTGCTTTGCAGGTCTTGGGCACTGCACGCAGGCGGTACAGGCATGTATTATTGTCAGACCACCCCAAGCCCTCTACTAAATCCCGCGCTCGAAAATGCTCTAGACGCCTGGAGATAATATAAGGGCTTGAATAATTACGAATAGTATTTAGGGGGCCCCTTATTATAATTCTAGTTATAATGACCCCCAAAACTCTACTCGATTTATTAAGGCCCCTATGTTACAATCCTAAGCCTTGTCCTAAGCCATCGAAGTTTTGAAGCATCGCAGATGACTCCAGATCCGAAGCGACAGCCATGTCCGCCACCCTACAAGTACATGGGTGGTGGTCAAGATTATGGTCCCTTTTTGGGTACCCTAAATATTAGGTGCCGTACTATAATAAGGACCCCCCCAAAAGGGACCTTAATTTTGACAACCACCCACATGTTAAGGGGTTTAGGGTTTAGAAGCTTTAGAAAGGACAGCAGTCAGGTAAATGGAGCAGAGAGCAGGCCAGTAAAAACTAGTACTCATAATAGGTTGTTCATAGAACAACACAAGGCGATGTGGTGATATCGGTGATTTCCAGCCGGAGTACGCTGAAGGTTGGTGTGGTGAAGATGACAAGGATGGGGATGGTGATGGTCACTATGGTATTCATGGGTCGCCGACGCTCACTTCCCCATAAGATTCGGAAAGATGATACTAGAGACCGAAATCCTCTCACTTACCATCGCCTCTATTCCGTTTCCTGCCGCACCACCTGCTGCTGTAGCTGCTATTGCTGAGTGCGGCACCTTGAAGTCAAAGCCACAGCAGAAGCATATAACTATGTTTTAAGCCCTAAGCTGCGCAGGTCACGTCCTTCCCTTCCACCCTTGCGGTGGCAGCCACATGGGACGAAAGTCTTGGCCGTGCCTGGGGTGAGGCTTTCCGTTTTGTTTTGAATGAGGGCTTCAAGGTCTAGGGCACAGGTTGTAATGCACCAGCTTCTTAGGATTGCGATTGTGCTTATCATTATGATTGCCAGTACTACTGTTATTATAGCTGCTGCGGTTACTGTAACAGTACACTGCTGTAACAACCAGGAGAATACCCATGATTGTCCTTATCAGGCATTTTCACAGCTGCTAGTAGACGTGACTGTTATTGGTGGCATTAACATGATGATTATAGTTGCTATTTTTTGTCTACTGTGAGTGTTATCGCCATCATGATAGTGACCATTATTGTTTAATATGGCTTTTATTATGTGCTCATTCGTGGGCTCCCGCGAGGCTTGGCACGCTTGCAGATTGAGCTCAGCTTCAGTTTTTTGTCATAAACCCTAAACCCCGTGGAGCTTTGCCTGCCTTGTGCGAGTGCGAGCGTCGAAACCCTAAGCCCCTAACCCGTCCTAAACCCCTAAACCCTAAGCTCCTAAACCCTAAAAAGAAACCCAAACGCTAAGCCCCTAAACCGTCCGCTGGTGGAGGCTTTGGGCAAAGAGTTCCTTACCAAGGGCGCCAACGTCCTGCTGGGCTTCTTGGCTTCGTTTCAGATCATCCGGGGTGCTGGAGCATATTCCCCGAGCTACAAGTAGCACAGACGACTTCCATCGACGGCATAAACACTATGGCTGAGGGACAATTTCTCACGAATCCTTGCATATGATCACATATGATAAACCATGGAGCATATTCTTTAAATGGATGCCTCGTGTTTGTGTCCATCTGCCGCCACACCAGCAGCGCCACCACAACCACGTGCACCACACCCCCACTCCCACTCCCCGACCTGGGAATTAACAACTCGCCTAAGTCGTCGATGCAAGCACATCACATCCCCAAAGTCAGACCTCGCGAGCGGGCATTTAAGCAATAGATTTTCAGAGCCCAGGGCTAGGGTTCAGGAATCTAAGCACCGAAGTGCTCTCTAAGTTGGCTGTACCGAGCAATCCGTCGGCAAACAAGCAAGTGCGACATCATGGAAAGTCCGTTCCCCAAAACCACTAGACCCAAAAAACGCCAGAATACTGCGACTGTCGGCAGGAAAAGAGGATGCGAAAAGGAAAGAACCCTAAACCCTAAAACACAACCGCTTTTCTGGACACCAAACCTTTGGCAGATGGAAAAAGGCGCGTTCCGGAAAACAAAACCCTAAAGCACAACGACCCACTGTGACCACCATCAGGACCTCATACCTTCATGCCCACATGGGGCCAATTCCTAAAACCTTAAAGCCTTAAAGCGACCATCAGGACCGGCCCTGAACGTGCACCGCGTGGCCCGAGGGGGTCGCAATGCGACCTGGCGGCCAAAGAGAGCTTCAAAGCCCACCAGGACCCTCCTTGTACCCTCAAATAGGGGTATACGGCCCCCCAAAATGGACATTTAGGGTCTAATGGAGGGTAGATGGAGGGTCTAGGGAACAAATTTTAAAAGTTTAACCAGGAACACACCCACGGTGCCCGCGGTAAGATGAGGGTTTAGGGTCCAGGGCCTAGGGGTTACGGCGGAGTTTGATCTAATATCGCAGGTCGGAGACAGTCGCTTTCAAAGGTCTTGTTGACGAAGCTTTGAAACCCCAGGTGCAGGTTGTTTGGATTGAGCAGCAACGAAGCATCTCCCAATAGCTTTTTCTAACCGCAATAGTATACTGTAGTTACACTCTCGGATGCTGGCTTAGCCCGTCAAGGCGTCACAGTTTTGCAGACTGCGCCATGTATTTCAGTGAAGACGTGGGATGTTGCTTGGGGCACGAATTTAGATTTGCGATTGCATGTGTGAGTTCTGGGGTTGAACTGTAATACTCATGAAATCTAGGCGTTCTGCGAACTGCTGCGAAGTTGGGTTTGTAACGCATGGTTCCGGAAGGATCCTGAAGGTTAGCACCTAAGGTAGATTCCACGGTTGCAGTGAAATGAAGAAGTGCGCCCGTTTGCGCAAAGTACAGCCCTGCTTTCACTGACTTCTCCGAGCTACTCTCCTTGCGGGGACTAGCGTTGCATAGTTGAGTCGCCCTGCTCGGATTTTCGCTTGCCTTTATGCGTACATGTGAATTCTGTCAGGTTCAGTCCTTGGTCAGGCAGGTACAATGATAACCACTACTACCGTTCTTCCATTCCCTACTAACCAAAGGTAAGGGATTAGGGATTGGATTCTGACGCACCACTCAGCCTTACACTACTGACCGTAGACCGCACAAAGGCTTCAGGGGACTTGGCAATGAGGCTCGTGGGGTTGGGGTCTTGGGGTTGTAGGGTCTAGGCGAGACTATGCAAGCCAGCTGCACAAAAGGAGTTTATTCAGCTCCGCCTTATTGCCGGCATTGAGGGCTTTCCACCCTCGAGCACAAAATTTCTCAACTTGAGAAGCAGAGTCTCAAGTAGGCCCTAAATCCTTGCATCCCGAAGCTCTCAACCCGTCTAGAAGAGTTAAGAGTCATATGCTATGCCGTTTTTAGTTTCTTGTTTATGTAGCACTTTTCAACCTAAGTCTAAGACGGTATCTCTCTCACGCAGTGGTTGACTTACCTAGCAACAACCCGGTGACTTTTAATGATTATGTAGTTTGTACTGGCACTCTCCTGCTCCAAACTCTTGTTCCACAGTTTTCACATAGGAGCCTTGCTATACCCGGGCGACTCGCGTTGTATGTCTACCCCTTATGAGCGACCTTGATATTACTCTATCCCTAGTCAAGGCTCCTCACCAGCATTTCCTCCCACCTATGTCCAATTCCCTCAATCCTCAGTGGCTTCTGCCTTTAACTTGTTCGAAGACTTTGTGCCAACGGATCGGTGCAGGCTGGGAAGTGTCTCACCTCAGCCGACCTCGAACCAATAACCTCGCCTGGCTTGTCCGAAACCCCTACATGCTTGAACCCAAAAGCCTTGGGCTTTAAACGACCGAACCCGTAAACTGCATAAACCAATATATAATTGCTTAACGCTAGACCAGAGGCCCTACTCCCAAGGTAGAGTACCTTTCTGGCGAGTCGCCCTACCTTGGGGCCCGCCTGGTCAAGGGCTACATCGAGGGTGTCCACTCTCAAAACGCGCCGGGCCGGTTGTAAGGACTTGGGGTTTATGTTTCGGGTGTTCTTTTTGCTCGTTTCATCTGCTCTTCTTGTTATTGTTCTTATGACTACCAGTAGAATCGTTAAGGGCTTGGTGCGTGTTCGTTTTTCTCTCCGATTGAATCGGCTTACTGCCTGCTGATGTCCAAATGTGGCTTCCGAATGTTAGCTCTCTGAGTCCCGATAAGAGATCGAGGCTTACTTTCCGAAGCCCAACCTTGATTTCTGCAAGCTCAACCCTGCACCCAAGCCTACTAATGTAAGGTATACTGGCAATTAGACGGTTAAGTTTCGGAATCGGAACACTGTTGGATTACCTGGTTCATTATTCAATACTATCAAGTATCCAGGACCCTGTAAAACAAATTCGTTATAACATCGTATTGACCCACATGCAGAAACCCTAAACCTTAAACGCTAACCGAATCAAGCAAGTGCCCTAGAGTCCCCGAATCCCTGACATGCCTGGGGCGATCTGGGTTCAGGGTTCCCAGACCTTCCAACATCCCTTAATTAAGGAGTATACCGTAAACAGAGTAGGGATCCTATTGCAGTTTAAGGTATATGATGGCTTGACTAAGGGATTTTGGAAGGTATGGGTTGAGGGTTGGGTTTCTAAATCTCAAGATACTTGTGCGACAACGACACTCTGCACGCAGGGCAAAGAAGGGCTCAAGGATTTTCGAGGTTCTGGTGGCCAGGTTTTAGGAAGCTTTTGGGGATTTTGTGGTCCGGTCTTCAGTCGCAACCTGAGTGTGCCTGAGGGTCCAGGATTCAGCACTCAAGAAGCCCCAGGTGCTCACTGTCATGAAGCACTTCATCACGAATAACCAAGAGACCAACCGATTCTCGCCCAAGACATCTGGATCTCAGACAGGATGCAAGTAGATCTCAAAGTTAGGGTTCTGCAGGGTTAAAGGCCACAGGTCAACCATTGTAGATAAACTTGGCGGCGCGGGCCCGACGGCCACGGAGGTAGTACAAAATATCTGTTTAGATATTCTTTGCATCAAGAAGTCGGGCTTCAGGGTCTTTTGGGGGGGGGTTGGGTTGATTGGGTTTCGGGTTGAAGGCCCGAAGGGGTGGCGTCATACCCGGGGCTTCGGGCTTACAGCTTTAGGTATGTGCTGTAAGAAGGGATTAGGCTTCTGAGTAAGCTCCTGCGAATCATCAATTTTAGTCTAGGAGTGTTTAGCTCAAGCTTGCTCGTCCAGGTCTTCAGGAGGCAATGCCTTCGTTGACCGTGCAGGGTTTGGGATCCAATTGGAGCATGTGAACCTGGAGATCTGCACAACTAGTAGAAGCCAGACTTCAAGCTGCCTGAACCTTAAGCCCTTAGCCCCCTAAACCCTAAACCAAACTGCCTGAACCTTAAGCCCTAAACCCCTGGGAAGCAAAGAAGATCCAGGACGCCGGGGACACTAAGACCCGTACAGCAGGGTTTATGGCTGAGGGGTCTAGGGGGTTTGTAGCCAAAAGGGGTTTATGGTTAAGGGGTTCAGGGCTTAGGAGTGTAGGATGCAAGGATCTGGCTAGCGCCCCAAGCCCAGTAGGCAAAAAAAAAAAGGTCCTAAACTCCTGACAAGCCTCGAATCGCCTGGGGATTTCGTAACACGACTTCGCCCAAGGAAACACCGTCAACTCCATCGTGGATGATCGGACTCTTTGGGAGGCGGGGGCTCAGGAGGTTTCGGGTTTGAGGCCCGGGGGGGTTGAGCAGGGCTGGTTCTCGAGGTTCTTCGGGTTTTCAGGTGCTTCCAGAGCATGCCCGAAAGATCGTCACGGTATACTCGCGAAGAGGGGGGAGAGAGAGAGAGAGACAGAGGCAGTTCAGTGTTTCGAGGCAAACACGTTGTTTGGTTAAGATTGCTTGAGCCCCGAACCCTGCAATCCTCAAACGAATTGCATTCTGGACTACCGGAGGTCTACTATCCGCCCTTCGTGGCATCAGTGGAAGCAGGTGTGCCTTCGAGACTCAGGGTTCTCGGGATTGTGTGGGCTCCATCATCTACCTACCTATACCAGTAAGTTCGTCGGCATACTTTTTTCTATTCCGCCGATTCGGCGTAGAATTTCCTTGCGTCGCAAAAAAAGTAAACAGCGGAACACCCTTGAATAAACCATGGCGCCGGAAAAAGTATGCCGAGATAGACCCTTGGGAATCTCCGATGTTACATGATGCAATCCAAACATGATGTTTGCTTAGAGATCTGAGTCTGCCCCATTTGAGACATTGATTGATGGAATCCTTGCGTAAGGCCTGGGCAAAGGCTGTAGAGTCGTTGCTTACAGATCTGGGAGAGGCTATTGAATCGTTGCTTAAATGTCTGGGAAAAGGCTGTTGGGTCGTTCTTTAAAGGCCTGGGAAGAAGCTACACTGTCTGGTTGGGAAAGGGCTATTGAGCCGTTGCTTCAAGTCTGGGAAAAGCTGTTGAGTATTTCTTCAAAGGCCTGGGATGAATCTACGGAGTCTTGTCAGTCTAGCTGGGAAAAAGCTATTGAGTCGTTGCCACACAAGGTCTAC